TTGAAATCGATTGAAACTTGTTACTCGTGGGTTTTTGGGGTCGCTGATTATGAATCTGCGATTAAATTTTCAAAATTCAAAATGGCGGATCCAATATGGCAGTCATGTTTATAAAAATGTAATGGATTCGCTCCAATTGAATATACAATTGGGTTATATACAGTCAGGCGGTCGGAAAAATGCAGTTTTTTGGGATTTTTTTAAAGGAATATTTATTTATTAAAGCGAAAGTTTTCCTATAATGTTTTACATCTTTTAAAGTTTAAAAAAAATTTCATTTGTAAAAATTTTTTTTTTCCTCTGTAGCTTATCTCCCAAAGATTCTTGAAAAAAAAGAGTCCCGCGGTAAACAAGATAAAAATTGATAGAATCATCTGAGATCAAAAAGATAAATAGATTCTGTTAGTGTATGAAAAAATGTAGTCTTTGATCGTTGGAATTAAAAAAATATCACTTTTTGACAAAATGGCAGCCAAAAAAAAGTTCATTTTTATGAAACAAAAAATCGTCTTCAAATGTTGATTAAAATTTTAATTTTATTTATAAAAATGACGATCTAGGACAGCAAAAAGTAGTTGTTAAGCTTGTGTGAAAATTAGAGCTAAATCGGTTTGCGGTTTTTGAGAAATCGTGTTCACCGACTTGAAAAACATAGTTTTGAGAAAAGCGAGTTTAAAGACCCTGCCCTGCTCTACACCCCACGGCGCGCTTTTCTAATTTTGTCTGCGACTTCGAAAATATTTCTCGAATCTTGATAAAAATTTTTTTCACAACAGGCAAATATATATACTTTAAGAAAATGCAAAAAAAAACAAATCGATTTTTTGAAAATCGTGACTGTATATAACCCTTTAAAAGTTATTACTTAAGGGGTTTTTGGGGTCGCCGATTACGAATCTGAAGTTAGATTTCCAAAATTCAATATGGCCGATTACGTAAAATTAAAATTTCCATCCAATTTGAAAAAATTTAAAAAGGTCTCTGTGTTTTACAGGGTTGACACTGTCATCATATTCAAAAAGATGCCCACATTACTTTTTTTTATTTTTTTCAAATATTCAATTTTTTTTATTTTTAATTATTATTTTTAATCGTCTAATACGAAATCGTATTGCCATTGCAAGAATTTGAATACCTTTTAATTAGTAGACATTTATTGCCTGTTACCGTGAAGAAATGACATTTTTGAATCTGAGGAACAGCAGGAGCAGAATTAAACCTTGCATTCAACGATCTCTTGACTTTTTTGTGTTCTACTTTGCGATGAAAGAAAACATTAATCTTCTCAAACTTATCCTTAGCCCAATCATAAAGTTTGAACGCAGTTGTTATTGCTTCTGTCGGTTTAGCTAACAGGCTAGCTCTCGCAGCTTCTCTTTTAAAAACAGCACCAATGCCATCACAAGCATTTTTACCGTGGGCGGTTGCGTGATAGTGCCATTCAGCTTTAATACCGAAGTCGATTTCATGATGAACTAAGTTGCTAATTTAATATTTGTTTTTAAAATGCTGCTTAGCACCATCACTGAAACAATATATTTTCTCAATATCCAAGATTTTCTTCAATTCTGGAATTAAAAGGCGTTGAATGGTGCAGACAGCAGCTGTGTCATGTTCAGTACTATCCGATAAATAAATAAAACTCTTGTGTTCCAATTTCGAATTCTTTTTAAAATAGCAAACCACAGTGAAGACTGGATTGATCATTATTGAAATGTAAAGCCTGAACCGCATCTTGAATCACAAACTTGTAATTTTCTGCAAAATCTAACGTCAAATATTTCTGAAAGTGAAGTATTAGTGAATACTTCACTTTCAGAAATATTAGTCTTTAAATCTTCAAAGTACTGTGCTTGTTGTTTTGCAATAAATGAATGTGACTTTAAATTTGCAAGTTTTTGACATAATTCTTCAACAAAGTCTTCAGAAGAAAGCAGATGAGTGTTCAAAATACATCTGTCAGTTCCTGTCCATTGACTAAATTGCACTTGATGGATATTATTGTCTTGTAAACGCTTTACCAAATATTCGGACAGCTCTTCAGTGCCTGGACAATTTTTGCACTCATCTAGATGACATGCATCAGTTGCATTTTTACACACAATTTGTGAGATACAGTCAGTGGACTTTTTCATTGGTTTTTCTGTCTCATTTGTCAGACTTTCAATATTAATGGCATCTAACATCAAATCGAAATTATGGTGGTGGGTGCAAAGACAAACTGCATGTGTTCCAGGACTTCCCATAAGTATACAGTGTTTAGGACGCAGTTCTGCAAACTTACTAAAACTTACGGGTAAATCTGGATATTCTTTCATGAACATTGTGTGCAATCCTTTTAAATATAAATACATTAATCTTTTCTGTTTTAATTCCCGCTTACCATTAACCTTGACTGATTTGACATCTTTTTCTAACGAATTTTTCCATCGAGCATTTCTTCAAGTTCAATTTCTCGTTTTAATCTACTCTCTCTTTCATCAAGTGAATTACAACTCTGTGTTGAAGAAGTTTCCATAGAATTTATAGACTCATTTTCATTCTCTTCTAAAACTTCATTTTCATTTCTAAACGGGATCTTTAAGCTTCTGCAATCGTAACAAATTTTTGAACCATCCGGAACATTAGGAAATTTAAGTTTCAAATTCTTCGATAAAACACGTAGTCCCTTGCCTTTGAGCTGATCTCGGGCATAAGGATTGCAACATCTATCAAAATGTGTATTAGGACAAATTTTCGGCATTTTAAATACAAGACAATTATCTCAAAGTGATAATTGATGAAATCTCGTTTATTCAGAACAAATAAACACTAATAATACAATTAACACAAAATAATAAATTTTGCTGTAAGAAATTGGTTTTATATAACGTTTTAATCAAAATTCGTTTACGTCTAATTTGATTAAAGAAAGAAGACGAATGTTTAGTGTCAATTCAAATAAATAACACGTAACTTAGCAACTGAACATTCATCTGCTTTGTATACTTTTTTATCATTTCGCATTATTGCAATTCTTATGTTGGAGATGACAACAAAAGATAAGTATTACGTGATATATCTAATAATTTGAAATTTAATTTTTCTAAAATTCAGTAATAATAGTTTTTCTTGTTGCTAGGAACTTACTCGTGTTTAAATACATAAAATTTATTAATTTTAAGATCCAAACGAGAAATTAATTATAAAGAATTTCTCGATTAATTGAAGAATAATTTTTTAAATTTAAGTTTACATAATTCAGAGAGATTATCAATCCAATTCAAATTGAAAATAAAAACATTTAACTACTCTTTCAGATTTTTAAAGTCTTGATTGCTTTAATGAAAACAATAACCTACATTGTCACGAAAATACCAAAAACAACTAATGGAAAATTACCGAATTTTATAAAACACACATTAATAGCAGGATTAAGTTAGACTTTGTTAAAAAATTATATCACAAGTTCACAAAAATAAAGTCGTATTCGTCTATTATAAAGCAGCTAACTCAGTGTTATTGTTATAGGGCTACAAATAAAATATTTGAGACAAACAAACAATTCCATAAGAGAATATTCCCAGGGAACTAAAATTTCTTATAAAAAAATTTTTATTCAAAAAAGTAAACTAATTACGTGCACAATATTAAACGTGCACATATTAAAATATGACTAATTGTACATATGTTGGCCTTGTCAGCACTGTGAAGCACAGAAACTTTCTCACAAACTTTTGGAAATTTGACGAAAATTCTAAATTTTATTTTTCAATTTTGAAAACAGACGTCAGATTCGTGATCAGCGAATCCAAAAAACCCAGAGTGACAATTTTCATGCAAATTGATCAAATTTAAGAAAATTTGTCAGCCATACTGGATCTGCCATATTGAATTTAGGAAATCTAACTTTAGATTCGTAATCGGCGACCCCAAAAACCCCTTAAGTAATAACTTTTAAGCGAATCCATTACATTTTTATAAATATTTCTGCCATATTGAATCCGCCATTTTTCATTTTGAAAATCTAGTCGCAGATTCATAATCAGCGACCCCAAAAACCCACGAGTAACAAGTTTCCGCCATATTGAATTTTGGAAATCTAACTTCAGATTCGTAATCAGCGACCCCGAAAACCCCCGAGTAACAAGTTTCATGCGAATTCATTACATTTTTAAATATATGTCCGCCATATTGGATTTGCTATTTTGAATTTTAAAAAACTGCCACTCGGTATTTAAAAGTATTCCTTTTTATCTAACTTTTACGCTTATAGCTGGTAATTTAAACGCAAACCATTTTTGGAGAGAAGGTAGGTCCCGTTGACAAAGAATGCCTTTATAATTTTTAAATTTTAAACGCAGAACATAAGTTTGTAGTAATTTTTAAACAATTTTGTACATTGTGAATGTAATAAAATATCTTCGTTGCAGAAATTTTATGATATTTTAATTTAATTTAAGCATTAATTTTTTTTTTCAAGTATTACGTTTATTAATTAAATTTGGACATTGCCCGCCACAACTTAGGGCAAAGCCCGAAATAAATCAGTATTTCGGACTTTGGCCAAAACAGCTTGGACACACTGCGAAGTGCCCGGACACTCTACGGATTGCCCGCACTGCGGACTTTGACCACAACATATAGATATAGTAGTGACAAGACAAGGTTCATTCTCATTTTACTATTATGTATTAACCAAAACTTCTTTGATTTTCTGTTTTACACCATTTTTGTGGACTTCAGAGCGCCCGCTGATTACTACGACCCCTTTGACTTGTTACTACTATATCTATTAATATATATATTTTAATTTAAATTAATTTTTTTGTTTAAATTTTCTTCTGAATATGTTCCCTTACATGTAAAAAATTTTTAGAAAATAAAAATACATTATATTTTAAGAAAAAACACTTTGGAAAAAACCCTCGATTTGACCAGACTCCCCCCCTTAAGTATTATATTTTGCATGCAATCAATTAATATTCATAATTCTGTTTGATGATTTTTTCTAATTTCAGATTTTTTTTGCTGTTGCAATACCAATAGATATACCTGATAAATCAGTTTCAGTTTCATTTTACTTTGAAGCAAACTACGAACTTCCATCTGACAAAAATGCCAGTAACTTAGAAGAATATTATAATAAAAAAAGAAGAATCGATAGAGGTTTGGCTTATAACATTCTAAAAAGGAAATTCGAGAGGTATATTTAATTAAATATCAAAATTATATATAGGGGAAACTGGGGCTAAATGTTAAATTTTGCTTAAGGGGTTAAACCACTCTAGAGCGTCAAAAAGAGGTTCTAATTTCAACATTTTTTTAAAAGAAAAGTTTAAAAGTAATGAGAAATATGTTTACATATCTCTATCAGGTACACTTTAAAGAGAACATAATATACTTTATAAATTTTTTTTTGTTTAAAAACTGCAGATGTACATGTACGTGATGGAAACCCTTTGTAAAAAGAAATCCTTCGCGGCCGGAAAGGTTTTTGGTACAATTTTCAACCTAGAACAGAAAACAAATTTTTTTCTATTTTTACATCTCAATAGCTAGAGAAAGACGTAGGGGATTTTTTTTATGTTGCATATTTCTTTAGTTATAAACAATTTAGTGCCTATTTTTTTCAGTCAAAAATTCAGTTTTTCTATAAAATGTTCACCATTTTTGCAAAAATCGATTTAAAAAAAATCCCCTACGTCTTTCTCTAGCTTTTGAGATGTAAAAATAGAAAAAAATTTGTTTTCTGTTCTAGGTTGAAAATTGTACCAAAAACCTTTCCGGCCGCGAAGGATTTCTTTTTACAAAGGGTTTCCATCACGTACATGTACATCTGCAGTTTTTAAACAAAAAAAAATTTATAAAGTATATTATGTTCTCTTTAAAGTGTACCTAATAGAGATATGTAAACATATTTTTTATTACTTTTAAACTTTTCTTTTAAAAAATGTTGAAATTAGAACCTCTTTTTGACGCTCTAGAGTGGTTTAACCCCTTAAACGATTTTTTAAGACTATAAATACGCTTAGATGCAACATGTTCTCAAAAACTTTAAATTAAAAAGTTTCTGATATTTTCGCGTTAAATACATGTTTTGACCTATTTTAAAAATTTTGTTTTTTTATATTTAGCCCCATGTGGGGCTAAATGGGTAACAATTCCTGAAGTGAGCAACGGATTTTCCAAGGTTTGCAATTTCTATAATAAACTTTATAAAAATAAAGTACTACATATAATAGAGGGACAAACAGTCACCAAGTTTTATTTGAAAATATTCATTTGTTTATTTTTTATAAACAATTTAATTTTAATGTAAGATTTTTTTTTAACATTTATATCTCAGAACTGGATTATCGGATTTTAATGAAAATTTTTGGACACAATTAATGAAGATTTGAGCTTTTTAAGAAAAATTATTTCAATGTTGAAAAAAATAATTTCTCGTAAAAAATAATTGTTAATAATAAATAATTGAATAATTAATTGTGTTCTGGACCTTTTTCGTAAAATTTTTTTGCAGAACCTTAAACTAAATAAATCAAGGATTAAATAACTGAAAGAAAAAGTTGGTTGATCGAAATAGTTTATTAACTGTGAATTTTTTTTTTGAGCGCGGTCGCGATGTTTCGTGCGTCGCGGTTTGACGTGGAGCTCCATAAGTTCATTGCACACTCACCACGAACACCGAGTATTCTTAAAAACTGAAATACAGAATAAGTATCTAAAATTTAAGATTATTAGTAGAATTATTTTACCACATTATTGTTTATACTAGTGACAATAATATGTAAAAATAATTTTTTTATTTAGGTATTTTTAAGAAATGTAATTTATTTTCAATTAAATAAATTTAACATTGTTGTTGTTTAACTAGTATTTTTGTTTTAATTTTCGACTAAATTTGTAAGTAAATAAAAAATGTTTTTGTTAAAAGTAAAAATTTAAATTTAAATTTTTGTTATGGAATTGTATTGAAGCTGGTAAAATTTCGTCTAAAGCAAAGATTTCAAATTTGCTTATGTTAGATTTATTTTACTTCCTCATAGAGGAAGTATTGTAATACCAAAATTTTTCAAGTTCGATTTTTTGACATATCTTTATGTTATTTGACCTCAGGAGTTCAAAAATGACATTTTTAAAAAATGTCATTTCGTATGTGTGTGTAAACATCACATTTTCATAAATATCTCGAAATCATGAAGAGCTTCTGGGTTGAATTTTTTTTAAATTGTAGATCTCACCTGCGGACATAAAGTGAGAGTACTTTCTGATATATTAATAAAGTTTAACTAATTTTTTTTTTATTTTTAATTTTGCAAAAACACGTTTTTTGACCATAACTTTAAAAAAATGTTAGGACACCTATAAATGTTTTTCCATGATTTTGTAGAGTTTGTTTAGACGCATCTTTTGAGCCCTAATTGAACACTTTTCGTCCATATTAACCAGAGTTATTAAACTTTTAAAAAACAAACATTTTGGAAAATAAGAATTTTTGGGAAATTTTGTTGAAAAACGTAGAAGTAACTTTAAAATTATCGTTATCAACTTGTAGATCATTAAAAAACGCTTCGATTGACTTCTTTTTGAACCTAATTCGATAATAAGTTTCGAAATTATTGGTATTTTAAAAACCAAAAATTGTGGAAAATGACATTTTCTCACCTTTTTTGTTCGAAAATTTTGAAGCAGAGATATCGTGTCAACCGTTAATTTCTCGTCTTATGGTCCTGTACCATCGACTTGCATTACCTTTTAATACACTTGGAATTGAGTTTATTAGAACATCGTCATCTATCACCATACAATTTCTACAATCTTCCAGTCTGTTAAGAAAATCTTCAGGATCAGCATTATCTTCATTTAATGTTTAAGACAGATTTACTAGATGAATCAGTGAATAATGTTCGTTTTATGCCCTTTTCTTTGTATATTTTATTGATTCGTCGTTTGCGTTGGTCCTTACTACGACAAACTTTTTTCTCCCTAGTAGAAATATTCTCGGGTTCGTCTGAGTTATCTAAACTAACACTAACTCTCTCGTCTTTAGACATCCCCCTTTAGGACAGAATCTTTTGATTAGCCTGTACTAATCGGTGGATATTTTGGTCACTTCTCTTCCTAACTAATTTACTCTTATTATTAGTGTTCTGGGAAAAATGTACTTCCTCAATTTGTTCAAAATTTTTATTTTGATAATGAGACAGAAGTTGTTCTCTTTTTAAATAAGGACCCACGTCATTTAAAGGACACTCAAAATTACTTTCCTGTCTATTAGGGTAGTGATGCTCGTCAATAGGGAAAACAGTTTTAGTCATTTGTTTGTTTAATTTGATTAAATGTCTGATTTCGGGACTGATACTGAGTCTAGAAACTGGCTGTCGTAAACTAATGCCATTTGGGGCAATTGTAGCCGAAACAATAGGCTGAGGTGCAGTCATAACTGTAGTAGTTACAGGCAATGACTGTGTATGGGAAGTAGTAGTCAAAATAGAAGTAGTAGGGATACTAGCTGTCGTCATAACTGGTGTATGAATCACCATTGGAGGGCTCGGTAAAGACTCGCTTGTCGGACTTTGTCTATTATACGAAAAGTTCCTCTCCCCCCTCCCTGCTATTAATTCTTGATTTTGATCAATTTCTCCCAAAATACCCATGTCTCTTAACCTGGGATTGATAATTTCCTCACCACTCTCACTTGTCTCTCCTCCACCCCTTGTCTGATAAACATTGGGAATTTCCTTCTCTCTTGGCGCAATGAAGGCTTCAAGAAGAAAAATTTTATCTGTTTTTCCTAAGTCATACAATTCACTAAATGTAATATCTATCTCGTCTGTAAAAATTTTCCTTAATTCGATACGAAATAATCTTTCTCGAAGAACTTATAAAGTCCCTGAAATTGATAATTGTTGGGAAAGTAACAATGTTACTATTTGTCCTACAGACATTTTGGCAATAGAATTCCAAATATCTCTAATATCGAGACTATCTATCAGTCTTGCCATTCTTTCCTTGCAGTCGGTCATTATCTCAATTGCAAAAGCTATTTTATTAGACAAATTTTAAACGAGTCAAAAAAAATAGTTTTAAACAATCTTAAATGTCAAAAAAAAAATTATTACACTATTCAATATTAACTTAGGGTAATTTTAAATTTCCACGCTTTATAAAAAGTCAGATTAAATTAGTTTCAATTTAATTTGAAAAATTTATAAAAATTTTTAATCATTAAAAATTAAAATTAATTTTTATGGCCCAACACACACTATACACGGTCCTGTTAATATTAATAAAATTTAAATTATTGAAATCGTCCAGGAATTATACGAACTATTCAACTTACAAGAAAAATTTCTAACACATGGTTATGGCGTCTCTCTCCATGCCGTCAACAAACATTTTCAAGTGTAAAATGTTTTATTTTACACAATTATCTCCTCCTCTCCAAAGTCAAATACAAAAAAATTATAATTTACATGTAAATCTCCTCCTCTCCCAAGTCAAATACAGAAATACATATAAATTCTCCTCCTCTCCTAAGTTAAATCAAAAAAATACATGTCACAAAAATAATTTCAAGTAAAAACTTCCTCAACAAGTCAAATCACAATAATAATGATTTTAGTCGTGTCTCAAAAATTTCCCAACAAATGTGTCCCACGTTGGGCGCCAATTTTATGACGGTACTTTTTGTTACGAACCGAAAATATTTTATAATTAAATATATTAAAATTAATTTATTTAATTACTGTGGGCTTTCGAGATGGCCCTATTTTCCGCTCGTTGGAGGAATTTTCAAACTGCCAGAGCGTGAGCTCTGTTTAATCTTATAGGATTCGTGTTTCCTTGTTGCTTAAATCAGAAATAAAAAGAGGAGGGGAGAGAACAAAATAGAATGAAGATTAAAAGTTAGAGTTAAAGAAGTGAATTTATTTGTTTAAAATTTAATATTGTTATTTTCCATCTCTTGCACAATTAAATGAGAAAGGAAAATGGTATTTGTTACCCCAGAACGACACAGAGTACTTACCGCTCCGGGATCCTTAAAACTACCGTCAGAAGATTCTTCTTTCTGCGGGACAAGATTTCACAATTTTTCGAAATGCGGTCACACGTACAACGACAATTATGAATTTTATTGTCCTTAATTATTAATTTCTTAAACCATTAAAACAGGGCGGACGCGACAACAACACGAAA